TAAAAAGAACATGACATATACTTTCCACTCCGTTACCACAGAAAGAACATGTGGTGTCTATTGGAATACCGCGAGTGGCAAGTCGTTGCTTAACCGCTAAAGCGCCAGAGAGAGTACGCCACATGAAATGTTTAATCTTAGGTGGTGTCTTGGTCTTCCATAACTCTCTCCACACCTGTTTTTCAATAGGAGTAAGAGATTGCTCCGGTGGCTGATCATAATCTATCACAGATTCTAAGAACTTATACGCACTCCGAGTCGAATATTGACCATTTGAAGTAAAACCCCATCTAAAAGAATCCGGAAAGGCCACTGTTGGCCTCATAAGTAATATCCTCTGAACATCTTGTGACGTAAACGTTTGATTTAGTAAACTAACAAAAGGTATTATGGCCGTAATTTCTTGTTTTAGACAACTTTTTAAAAACTTGTTAATATCTAGAGTAAGATACCCAAACATTTTTTACAAAAATTACAATATTATAGAGATATATTTGTTTTTATATAATATATTAAATGAAGAAAATATTATAAAAGCACATTCTAGCATGATAAACAATAATAATATTTAAAATATATAAAATATACTATAAGTAAATTGTAAATATCTCTATAATATTATTTGAGAAGTCACTTTCTTATGTGTCGCGCTCACGTTAATTTTTACGTTGGTTGATTACTATGATACCCCTAATGAATTAAAAAATACATTTAAATATTATTATTTCCTTTTAAAATTTTTACAAATTACAATATAAAATAAAGTAAAAAATTATAAAGTTTACAAAACTATTTAAAAACGAAAATATAAGTATATCCTTTTAAAAAAATTCCAAATAACAATATAAAATAAAAAAGTAAACATTTATAAAGTTTAAAAAACTATTTAAAACGAAAATATAAGTATATACAAATATGGTTTCATGAAAAAAGGAAAGTTCACAAAATAGCAATATTTAATTTAAATATATTTTAAATAACATAAAATATACTTTTCAAGTAATACAATACTTTATATCTATATCTTCTTAGATGAAAAATTACATTTGTATATAATGTGATTCCATAAAAAAAAAAAGTACACACAATTAATCTTGATATTAGAAAAAGAAATATTTTTTTCTTTTAAATTTTTTTTTAACAATAAATATATATATTTTCGAAGTAATTTTTTTTTTTGTGTCTACCTATTTTATTAGATGATTTCATAAAATAATTAAGTAACATAAACTGATATAGGTTTAATTGACAAATTATTTTATAATTAGTCTTGAAATATTTTTTTTTTTAATTTTTAGTATATTTATTTGACTATAATATCTTATAATTACATTAAAATATAAATTCTATTTTACTTATATAACATAATTTCTCCAAAACAATAACATTTTTTACTGCATATTTCAAGAGATATTAAAACAAACTTAAAATAAATTTTAATAATAAACAATTTTTGATCAAATAACTAAAATTATTTTAAAATATCATAACACTATATAATTTAACGAAGTAGATTACTATATTTTAATAGTTAAAATTATATGTTTTCTTTATTAATCTTTTAATTTTTAATTTTCTGCTCCTATGTTTGTGAAAGTTAATATAACCATAATCAAAATATTTAAGCAATCAGAATCCTTATTTTAAAATTTTTTAAAAATAAATTTCAGCTTATCATCCAATCAATCTAAATATTTTAAATATTGCTAAGTTTCATAAGCTTCCAAAAATTTATTAGTTACTTATGTATGTAATTTAGAATCAGACAGTTCATTTTTTATTTTTTTCTTTCTAAGCACAAAAAATCTTAAGTTATACATAATCTTACTAGATATACTTATATTTCTAAGATAACAATCGGCATAAATGTAAATAAGACAATTAATCAAAAATTTAATATATTTAGAATAAAAAAATTATAGTTGAATTCAGATAAATAGGTAGAATCTAATATATCCAAATGATAACTAAATCAACCGCAAAAACAATAAAACCGACGAACTATAACATTTCTAAAATTATATATATAATTAAGTTAAAAAAATTAATATAATATTATTAATATAAATTATACCTACGATTATAAATTAATTTAAAATTTAAAGTAAATATCAATCAATTATAATAATATATTTATTTTCTAAATATTTATATCCGTGCATGAGCACGGGAAAATCACCTAGTAGCTTAATAATATAAAATAACATTTTGCATTTATATATTATTAATATATAATAATAAAAATCCAAATTCATGAATGATTATTCCTAATGGACTTTTGGTTAATATGTATGAATTTGTTTTGATTATTCCTAATGGACTTTTGGTTAATCTTTGGATTTTTATGAATTTGTTCATATGTATGGAAGTTATTTAAAAGATAAATTTAAAAGACCTAATCCGCGCGTGATTTCTGTGTGTGTGTGAGTTTCACTAACACCAGAGAGTATATTTTTAAACTAATAACTAGATCTTGACCCGCGCACCGGCGCGGGTTTAACTTAATTTGGAAAAGCATAATATATTCATAAGTCATCGGTTATTACCGTATTTCAAAAACTATGATCGTATTGAATGTAATAGGACTGGAGTTTGATTTTGGGTTCAAATTTTGTTGGATTCTTTATGTTCGTAGTCTTTTTAATTCTACAGCTATAAGATTTGTTATGTTATATATATAAATTGATTTGCGTCCGGTTCGATTCTTTTGGTTTGAGCTGAGTTTGGTAATAATTATAATAACCGACTAATATCAGATAATTTTTTGGTTCAAATATGATAACGGTTTGGTTACGATTTCAAGGATTAATTTTAGATTAATCGGGGTAAAACTGATTTTGGGGGGGGGATAGGTGTTTCGGATAAATATCCAGTTACGAAAACAAAATTTTAATATTTTAGTTAAAACTATTCAAATATTTTGTGTCTTTATGATAATTTGAATAATGTAAAATACTTTAGATAAAATATATTTGAGTATTAAATTATTTGAAATGTAAACTGTTATTATCTTAAAAACTGATGTTATTTTTAATTTAGTCAACAATAAATAAAATTGAATATGGTCTTTATATAAAATATAAACTAAAAACACAAAATACTACAATGGGCCAAATGATTAAAGCCAGCCATAACATAAAATAAATTAAACAAAAGCCCAATTCTATTATAACAATGTTTAAAAGCCCAACTCCTTTAAACTTATAGCCAAACAACATTAAACTCTTTATTACTACTATTTAAGTTTCCAAACAAACCTAAAGAGTACTATAACTTTAATAAGATAGATATGGTACATATTTGCTTCTTCCTCTCTGAAACTAATAATGGTATGTGGGACACATCTCTGTCTTTTTGCCACGTCACATGCCGCTGTATTGTTGGGTTTCTGATATTTCGAATCCGTTAAATTATATGTGTTGGGCCCATTGCCCAATAGTAAAGAAACCCCTTCAACTTCATCTGCAACCTACGGTTTCCCCAATCCTACATAGCTCTCTAAACTTTTCCAATCAAATACATGAAACTCTTCAACTGACGCGGTTTCTCTTCCAATCCTTGATCATATCTTCCTCTGAAGCTATTTCTGCTTTATCAGGGTTTGCATAACATTAAGAAGAATGGTGGATTTGTGGGAATCACCCTCCTCTTTCTAGACGAAAAGGTATCAACCCTCCTCACGCCGTTGTTATTGTTTCGCCTCTTCAACTTTTCCATCGTGGTTGCCGATTGATTTCTGCAAATCTCCGTGTTTTTGGAGTTACAACGATTCACTTTCAAATCCTTCAATCCTTTCTTAACTCATACTCCCTCCGTTTCAGAATATATGTCATTTTAGGCTTATTTTTTGTCACAAATTAAATGTCGTTTTAAAGTTTCGAGGCAAAATTGATTAGTTTTATATAATATTTTATTTTTCTATTGGTTGAAAAGTGATTAGGTGTATAGGTAATTGTGTTTTTATCTTGGAAATATGTAAAATTAAATATTTCCTAATCTGTGTGCAAAAACCTAGAATGACAAATAAAGTGAAACGGAGGGAGTATCATGTATATACGCTTTAGGAACTCTCGTAGTCACTCATAGTTGTGACTTATGACGTATCACCAAATTATTCTATGTACTTTATTTAGGTATATATGCTTAGAAAATAAATATGTTTTGAATATTAATTTTATAATCTAAATTTTAACAAAGTAAAGACATCTTTGTTATATTTAGCTAAATTCTATAAAATTTTAGCTAACTACTATATTTCAAACTTGAACATTTTATTAAATCTTTATTATTTTCCAACTTCCAAGGTTATCTAAACCAAGATAATGAATATTTCACATAATTACTAAATAGTATTTATGATTAAGTAAAAAAATTATCATTTTTATGTTGCAGGTATGGTCAGTTGGACTTCTAAATATTTTGTAATACATGCTTAGCAAATTGTATATGTTTAAAATGTTAGTCTAATAATGCAATGATGAAAAGATAATCATTAATTTATAAACAAACTTATTACTTAAATTGTGTACATTTCCCTTCTTATTTAATTGATAAAAAACAGTTTAATAGAATTAAGAACATATCTACTCATGCTTTTTGTTATTTACCATGTGCACTTTTATTTTACATTGCTTAACTCTCACAACTTTGAGAAATATATAATTTGATCTTTTCTATAGCCTCTTCATCGATTATTTTCCTCAATCTTACATACACATCAGAGAGAGTCATTTCATATGTATTTTTTCTTTGCATGATTAAAGGTTGTAGTAAAAACATATATACTATTACATTGTAATAAACATCTGTCACTCCTTCCCCAACACCACAATTTCCTTTAGCAAAACCTAAACCATCACAGATCTTGTTATCCAGAACCAGTAACACAGTAGATGTTTCAGAAACTTCTACGCAGCTGCCGCTATGAGACGGTGATTTCAGCTATTGACTTAATGAGCTGTCCCAAGATCGAAACTCTGATGGTTATAGCCATGACTATTTTAGACATCAGGCACAGATTTTCCGAGAATATGTATGAAAGGCACGACAGAATGGGCCACCACAAACCACGAGGTCAGAAAATTGATGGTATGTTCTTTACAAACACCAATAGGCACGTCTGAAGCCATCCCCTTGTGAACATCCTTTGCAGGTAAAGGCTGGAGGCTTTTAACCAAAGTCGTTTCAGAAAGTGCAGCTCTTGCAGCTACTACCGGAGATGAACATCCAAATTTCATACCATGCTGAAGATCATCTTAAATCAAACATGTACAAACACTTCCACGTCAAATATCATTTTAAATCTCATACCTATGGAATAGCTATTTTAACACTCTAATAGATTGGTCCTGTCTCACACAAAACAACAATGTACGAACATTAAGTAACATTGGAGACATCAGATATAAACAAATACATAAAAAGTCAAAATTGTCACTTATCATGTTGGTTAAAATTAAAACCAAAATAGATCTTGCTGGTTTACAATATACTGTAAACATGGTACCTCTTGAAATGGTGAGCACCTGGTTGACAATACTCCAAGATGCATGTTATGGCTCAGATATAACAGAAGATAACACATTTCACTGCTGTCACATTGCACGCCTTACGCCCACATGTATTTATCCATTCCCACCCTTACATACAGTTAGATATTTCATATCAATGAAACAAACATATATAACTATAGTGAAGAACATCATGGACATAGAAATCCACAAACCTTAGAAAAATAAATTCAGCCAGCCTCTTAGAGCTGATAAATACGCTTCATCCACTCTGAAGCAAATTACTTTGTGGCTGATCTTGTAAGAACGACATCAAAAACATCAACCACCACAGAACATTGATGACATAAGAGATTCACTGAAGAAAAATTAAAAAAGTACTAACAAATATGTTTCTTATTATCATATACCTCTGAAATATGTCTGAAACGCCACTCATTCACATGCAAATCTTTGCAACCAACTCTTCAGTAAAACCCACCAAGTGTACTTGTGTCTGTTGCAGTCAAGGTTTTGCAGAAGAAGCACACCTAGAACATTGGCGGTGGAGGAGGAGCCTCTTTCTCAATTGCAGTATTGTCTTGTTGTAAGAGAAACAGAGACAGAAATCAGTGTTGTGAAGGATTAGATTATCATCTTATACTCGGCTCAAACAAACAATTGGAAAACACAACATACAATACGGAAGAAGAGTAATAAGCGCTTAATTTGTCAATGATTAATGTCTCTGCCTGTGGTATAAAAGACAAACAATTCAAAACTCCGAGAAAAATATGAAGAAAGTGGGAAGGCTATTTTAAATCTACAATAATAAAATGAACGACGAAATTAAACAATAATAGAAACAAACAGAATGAAAAATCACAACTAAAAATTTCAAGGAAAAAAAAACCAGAGAGTCGAAGATTTGAAGTAAATAAACAAACTCAGAGAGAGGATCTTGTTGGTGTAAGCTTGAATAAAGCTTGAGAGAAAAGAAAGGGATTCATCCTAATCCAAGACTATTTAGGAGTTATCTAAATATTGTGTTTTCTTAATAGGATTAGGATAAACATAGCTTAACCTTATAAATAGCCTATGTCGAGTTATGGCATTGGTGTGAGTTGTGGTTTTGTTTTGCTTAAGTTTTGAGTAAGTTTCTTAAGCTAATAAGAGAGTGATTCTTATTGTTTTCGAGTTCTGCAATTCAACATAAGTCTGTTACGACAATATTGTGGTATCAGAGCTTGAGTTCGAATCATTATGAGTGATTTAACGGTGGCAACGACTTCGGTGAAGGAGGGAGGTTCCTCCTCAATCAAGTGTCCTATACTGACTTCAACCAACTACACGGTGTGGGCTTTGAAGATGCGAGTTCTACTCAAAGTCCATAAGGCCTGGGATCTGATTGAAAACGAATCTGTGGACGAAGAGAAAGCGCTAGACGAGGAGAAGAATGATGTAGCTATGGCACTGCTGTTTCAATCAATCCCAGAAACATTGGTGTTGCAAGTTGGAGAATTAAGTACTGCAAAGAAGGTGTGGGAAGCGATTAAAGCAAGGCATATTGGAGCAGAGAGAGTAAAAGAAGCTCGATTGCAGACACTCATGGCAGACTTTGATCGTTTGAAGATGAAAGACACGGAGACCATATATGACTTTGCTGGCAAGTTAGCTGAGATCTCATCAAAGGCAATCACATATGGAGAAGAGATCGAAGAATCTAAACTAGTCAAGAAGTTCTTAAAGGGTCTTCCTAGGAAGAAGTACATTCATATGGTGGCTTCACTAGAGCAAGTCCTTGATCTAAAAACGACACCCTTTGAGGATATAGTGGGTCGGCTTAAGGCATATGAAGAGAGGATTGCAGAAGAAGAAGAAGGAACATCAGATGAGCAAGGAAAGTTGATGTATGCTGAGTCACAGTCGAACCGTGGTTATGAGAATGATAGTAGAAGCTATAACAATGACTCGAGAAACAGAGGTCGTGGAGGAAGATGGAATAACAGAGGTCGAGGAAGAGGAAGAGCAAATACATATGCACAAAAGGATACTTCTCGAGTAATTTGCTACAGATGTGACAAAGCTGGTCATTATGCATCAGATTGCCCGGACAGATTACTGAAGCTGCAGGAGACACAAGAACAAGAGAAGGATGATACAGTACAGGCTGAGGAACTCATGCTTCACGAGATAGTTTATCTAAACGAGGACAAGATAACACCAAGTGAATATGAGGAAACTAATGGAGAAGATATATGGTATCTTGATAACGGAGCTAGTAACCACATGAGTGGAGATAAGAGATACTTTGCCAAAATTGATGAATCCATCACTGGAAAAGTCAAGTTTGGTGATGATTCTCGTATTGATATAAAGGGAAAAGGGTCAACAGAGTTCATTGACAGGAATGGAGAAGCAAGGAGAATCACAGATGTGTATTTTATTCCAGATCTCAGAAGCAATATCATCTCATTGGGCCAAGCAACGGAGTCCGGCTATGACATAAGAATGAAGAATAACTACTTACTCATGCATGATCGTGATGGAAAGATGATAGCAAAGGCTATGAGAGCAAAGAACAGGCTCTACAAGGTACGGATGCGGGTGAGAGAAGCGACGAGTCTCCTTATTGCAACGACAAGTGATTCCTGCAGATGGCATGCTCGACTCGGGCACATAAATTGGGAAACAATGAGAGCAATGGTTCAAAGGGAACTTGTTGTTGGCGTCCCAAAGATCGACATTGAAAAGAAAGTATGTGGTTCATGTTTGCTTGGCAAGCAAGCAAGACAATCCTTTCCCAAAACAACAAACTTTCGAGCTGAGAAGCTTCTTGAGCTTGTACATGGTGACTTATGTGGTCCTATAACACCAAGTACAAGTGCTGGGAATAGATACATTTTCGTTCTGATAGATGATCACTCAAGATACATGTGGACCATACTTCTTAAGGAGAAGAGTAATGCATTCATGAAGTTTAAGGTTTTTAAGAACTTGGTCGAGCAAGAGACAAAGATGAAGATTCAAACTTTCAGAACTGACAGAGGAGGAGAGTTTGTCTCTCTAGAGTTTAATGAGTTCTGTGATCTTTCAGGTATCAAGAGACATCTTACGGCTCCATATAGTCCACAGCAGAACGGAGTAGTTGAGAGGAGAAACCGGACACTGCTTGAGATGACAAGGAGCTGCTTGAAGCATATGAATGTTCCAAACTATCTATGGGAAGAAGGAATCAGACACTCAACATACTTGCTTAATCGTGTAGCTACAAGAGCATTGAAGGACAAAACACCTTATGAAGTTTTGAAAGGGAAGAAACCAAATGTCTCTCACTTGCGCACTTTCGGTTGTGTGTGTTACGCCAAGATAGAAGCTAAGTTCCTGAAGAAACTTGATGACAGGTCACGACTGTTAATCCATCTTGGGACAGAACCAGGATCAAAAGCTTATCGCTTGCTTGACCCAAAGAAGAAACAGATTGTGGTGAGTAGAGACGTCGTATTCGACGAGTCGAAAGGATGGAATGGAAGCAAGATGCTACTGATATAAATCAAGTTGGAAGGTTCAAAGTGACACTGGGAACATATGGAAATCATGGAATACAAGAGAGTGAAAGCATCGAAACAAAGCATACTGCTGAAGTTGAAACAGAACACGACGTGAAAATAGAGTCTAGAATCAACGAAGTTGAAGAAGAAGAAGAAGAAAGAGTCAGTGACGAAGAAGAGTCTGATGGAGATGATTTACAGATACTAAGAAGATCAGAGAGGCAACGTTATAAACCAAAACACCTAGAAGATTATGTGTTGCTCTGTGAGATTGAAGGAGAAAAGCTGTTGATGTGCATGAACGATGAGCCTGATAGTTTTGCAGAAGCTAAAAGGTTTAAGGAGTGGATTTGTGCTTGTGAAGATGAGATAGCCTCGATTGAAAAGCTTGATTTCTGGAAACTCGTAGACTTGCCGCAGGGAGTAAAGCCAATTGGGCTCAAGTGGGTATTCAAGCTCAAACGAAACGCCGATGGGAGTATTAATAAGTACAAAGCTCGTCTGGTCGCTAAGGGATATGTGCAGCAACATGGTATTGACTATGAGGAAGTATTTGCCCCTGTAGCAAGAATTGAGACGATAAGAGTGCTGATCAATCTAGCAGCTTCAAATGGATGGGAAGTACATCATTTAGATGTTAAAACAGCATTCCTGCATGGAGAGTTGAAAGAGACAGTTTATGTAAGCCAACCAGAAGGTTTTGAGATCAAGGGAAGTGAGCATAAAGTCTATAAGTTGAGAAAGGCATTGTATGGGCTCAAACAGGCACCGAGGGCTTGGAATCATAAGCTCAACACAGTTCTCTTGGATTTACACTTCAACCGTTGTCTGAAGGAACGGTCAGTCTATCGTAAAGAGGTGAATAATGAGATACTTATAGTTGATGTTTATGTTGATGACTTGTTTGTTACTGGAACTAGTCTTAAGCTGATCAAGGAATTCAAACTTGAGATGGCAACTACGTTTGAGATGTCTGATTTGGGGTTGCTTACGTACTATTTGGGTATTGAGGTTAAGCAAAACAGTGAAGGTATTACATTGTCTCAACGTCGATATGCTCACAAGATCCTAGAGGAAGCTGGTATGAAGATGTGCAATCCAGTACAAACGCCAATGGAGATGGGTCTTAAACTAGCTAAGTTTGAGAAGGAGAAGGATGTTGATGCTCGTGGTTATAGAAAGATGATTGGATGCTTCAGGTAT